GGCCGTGGAGGAGCAGCGTCTGGCCCTGCTCAGGGGCTTCTCCCTGCTCCGGAGCAGCTGGGACCGGGCCCAGCAGGCCGCCGGCAGGTGCACCAGCCCCTGCACGGAGCTCAGCGTCACCGCCAGGGACGCGGGCCTGCTGCCGCCCAAGGCCCCGGCCTCCCCAGGTAAGGCAGCGGCGGCCTCCCCTCGGCTCTGGGGGTTTTGTGTGTTTTTTTTGGATTGTGGCACATTTTATTTATCTGTTATCGTGTATGTCGTTTACCGGGGAAACATTGGTTAATAACATGTGTCCGGCTTTATAAGAGGACATCTGTATATTCTGTTGTGAGCTCCCCACCCGAAGTCTAGTCTCTCTCTGTCACCGCGCACCCTCTTCGTCCTCCCACCAACCCCCTTCCCCTTCGGAAACCACCTTTCTGTTGTCCACCATTTTGTTTTAGTATTTGTTGCTTTTTGCTTTATATCCCACATATGAGTGAATTTATACGGTTCTTGTCCTTTTCCGTCTGACACGTCCCTGAGCGTGATACTCTCAAGATCCATCTTTTCATGCTGCCGAAACCGGTTTGGCTCAGTGGATAGAGCGTCGGCCTGCAGACTGAGGGGTCCCGGGTTCAATTCTGGTCAAGAGCATGTATCTTGGTTGCGGGCACATCCCTGGAAGTGGGTGTGCAGGAGGCAGCTGATTGATTATGTTTCTCTCTCATCGATGTTTCTAACTCTCTCTCTTCCTCTCTGTAAAATATCAAGAAAAAAAAGATCCATTGATTCTGTGGCAAATGGCAATACTTCATCTTTTTTATGGTTAAGTAGTATAGATAGTCCATTATGTGTGTGTACCATAGCTTTATCCATTTTATCCGTCAAAGGACACTTGGGTTGTTTCCATGTCTTGGCTATTGTGAACATAGGGTTACTGATGTCTTTATAAGTTGTTTTCACATTGTGGGGGTGGATACCCAGAAGAGGGGTGTCCGAGTCATATGGTGGCCATTGTAACAGGTATGAGATGGTGTCTTGTAGTTTTGATTCGCGTTTCCCTTGTCACTAGTGATGGTGAGCATCTTTTCAGATGCCTGTTGGCTGTGTCTTCCTTGGAAAATGTCTAGTCGGGTCCCCCGCCCATTTTTTAACCGTGTTTCTTGTTGTTGAATTGTATGAGTTCTTTATGTAGTTTGCATGTTAGCCCCTTATTGAAGGTGTGATTTGTAATTATCGTCTCCCGTTCGGTTGGCTGCCTTTTTGTTTTTATGGTTTCTTTTGCCGTGCAGCTTTTTGGTTTGATGCAGTGCCATTCATTTGATTTTACTTCCCTTACCATTGGGGTCAAGTTCACAAAAATCCCTAAGACCAAGCAAGGTCTGTACGTTTAGTGCCTATATATATATATATATATATATATATATATTTTATACAATGGGACCCCTGTTCTCGAATTCAATTAGTTCCAGAAGGCTGCTTGAGAAGCGAGTTGTTCGAAAACAGAATCATCTTTCCCATTAGAAATAATGTAAATTGAATTACTCTGTTCCAGATCCCCAAATGATTTCGTTTTAACTTTTCTTAAATTTATTAACCCACCCCCTACTAGCCTTAAACTATACTAGTGGTCAGCAAACTGCGGCTCGCGAGCCAGTTTGCCACTCTGTTGACTAATGAGTTTGCCAACCACTGACCTAGACGCCTCTCGATTCCAATAATCACAGGCTGTTGTTCCTTGTGATTAAGCCCCTGTCCCAGTGGTCGGCAAACTCATTAGTCAACAAGCCTTGGCTCGTGAGCCGCAGTTTGCCGACCACTGAACTATACCACTGCCTCCAAAATGCCATCACCAGCTGCTTCTCATGTACCCAATTCCCAAGTTTCTCTACCTATTCAAATCGCCTGACTTGTTTTGTGAGCACTTTTACCCATTGGCGCTCTTGATGGCCTCTTCTGTTTTGGAATTGTGCTGACTGTCCATTTCACCAGCAGCAAAAGCATCCTCTCCTGTGTTTGTTGCCTAAGAGATGCTTTTTGTCAGCACGAAAGGGTTGTCAGGTAGAAAACTGAAGTTTTGGTCGACAACCAAGACTTTCTGTGAACAACCTGATTGGAAAGCAAATTGTTTGAGATGAGAGACATTCTAGAACCGAGGGTTGACTGTATTTTGTTGTTTCAGGTCTTCACATCTTGAACCCACTTTAGCTTTACTTTTTGTGTTTGGTCTGCTGGCACTTGTTCTATTCTTTTGCATGTGGCTCTTTCGTCTTCCCGGGGTCAGTCATGGAAGAGACGTTCCTTTTCTCCAGTGTATGTTTTGGCTTCTTTTACGGAAATCAGTTGCCCATGTATTTAGGGTGTCCCCCAAAACGTATACGCACTTTGAGTAACTATAAAGGCGGAGTTTATTAAAATACGTTTCATTTGCAAAATGTAATGGGATCACAAACGTTGTGTGCTGGGTGCTGTATTTGGGGGGATGCCCTGTACGTGTGGGCGTGTTTCTGGGTTCAGTCCGGGTCCACTGGCACGCTGTAGATGCCGCCGCCCTGCACCGATTGTTGGCATCCCGGACGCTCATTTCCCAGCTTCCCTTCCCGGGTCCTGCCGGGGTGTCTGGGCAGGGGAGACAAGTTGGTGGCCTCACAGCTCGGTGCCCCGCCAGCGGCAGAGGCTGAGGGCACCGGTAAGACTTCCCAGCTGCCTCTCCGGGGCTTAGCCTAGTGGGGAGCCGGAGGGAGGTGTCCTTTCCTGGCGGGAACCTGCCCTGCCCCACACACTGCAGGCTGCACACACTTCTCCATCTTCATCTCCCACACTCTGTCCCCGTCCTCCCTGTCCCACCTCCCCGCTCCCCACCCTCGGGCGCTCCTGCGCGGGGATCCTTTGGGTGCATTGGGGTGTTGAGGTGATCCTTCGTTGAGTCCGTGGTCTTTGTGTACATTCTAAGGGAGAAACAATGGAGTCGTCTCACTCCCCCATGGCACGGACGCCGCTCTCTTCAGCACTTCTCTGTGTCCTGGGGGCGGGGCATGGGTAATACAGTGAAGAAGTCAGCCCTGACCTCCCAGCCTGTACAGGCAGACAGGTGACAGGTACAGCGTCACCAGTGTGGTGATGGGGGAGCAAAGGGGGTCACAGGAGCACACCAGGAAGGCTCCCCGGAGGAGGGGGCACCTAAGCTGAGACCGAGTGTGTAAGCAGGAGTGACCCAGTGGAACGTTGTGAGGGGAGAGTGCTCCAGCAGAGACCAGAGGGTAGGAGAGCCCAGCCCGGGGCACTTAAGGAACTAAAGAAGCCCAGTGTGTGTGGCTGATTCTGGCTGGGGGTGGGGGGGCCCTCGGGGAGAGACTGGGGGAAGGAGACTAGATGTCAAGCAGGTGTGGCTGAAGATGAACGGAATTGAAGCTGAGGGCCCAGGGATGGGGAGGCCTAGGGAGCCAGCACCAGCGGGGAGTTGTTCCCAGCCCGGCCTAGAGGCAGGGGAGGCACCGTCAGATGGATCACCAGGACAGCCAGGAGCTGGAGAAGATGCAAGCAGGGCCTTGATGGCTCATAGCCCCCCAATATGGCAAATGGAAGGCAGGGGGCCAGGTGATACCTCCTGGGGTACAGAGAATGGCTCTGGGGACACATGGAAAACCACCACGTGCATACATGCGGGTCCATCACATGCAGTGGTACCGGGCATGAACAGCCTGCCTAGAACAAACCCAAGGCCATGTCCTCCCCGGGGCCCAGCAGAGGTCACAGGTCACCCTGCTAACGCTGCTTTGGCTCTTTCCCAGCCGCCAGGTTGGAAGCCAGAGCGGCCCTGCACCAGGCCCTGGAGATGAAGCGCCAGGGCAAGCGCAAGAAGGCCCACAAGCTCTTCCTGCACGCCCTGAGCATGGACCCCGACTCGGTGGACGCGCTCACCGAGTTCGGCATCTTCTCCGAGGAGGAGAAGGACATCATCCAGGCGGACTTCCTGTACACCCGGGCGCTGACCCTCTCGCCCTCCCACGAGAAGGCGCTGGTCCACCGGGACCGCACGCTGCCGCTGGTGGAGGAGATCGACCAGCGCTACTTCAGCATCATCGACGACAAGGTGAGGAAGGTCATGTCCATCCCCAAGGGCAACTCGGCGCTGCAGAGGGTCATGGAGGAAACGTACTACCACCACATCTACCACACGGTGGCCATCGAGGGCAACACCCTCAGCCTCGCGGAGATCCGGCACATCCTGGAGACCCGCTACGCGGTGCCAGGGAAGAGCCTGGAGGAGCAGAACGAGGTCATCGGCATGCACGCGGCGATGAAGTACGTCAACACCACGCTGGTGTCCCGCATGGGGTCCGTCACCATCGGCGACATCCTGGAGATCCACAGGCGGGTGCTGGGTTACGTGGATCCCGTGGAAGCCGGCAGGTTCCGGACCACGCAGGTCCTGGTGGGACACCACATCCCTCCCCATCCCCAGGATGTGGAGAAGCAGATGCAGGAGTTCGTCCAGTGGCTCAACTCGGAGGACGCTATGAACCTGCACCCCGTGGAGTGTGCGGCCTTGGCCCATTATAAGCTCGTTTACATCCACCCTTTCATCGACGGCAACGGGAGGACCTCGCGCCTGCTGATGAACCTCATCCTGATGCAGGCGGGCTACCCGCCCATCACCATCCGCAAGGAGCAGCGGTCCGAGTACTACCACGTGCTGGAGGTCGCCAACGAAGGCGACGTGAGGCCGTTCATCCGCTTCATTGCCAAGTGTACGGAGACCACCCTGGACACCCTGCTCTTCGCCACGACAGAGTACCCAGTGGCCCTGCCGGAGGCCAAACCCAATCACTCTGGGTTCAAGGACACGCTGCCTGTGAAACCTTAACCCTCCACGTCTCCCCTTGGTGACAGGTTTCCGGGGGGGGGGGGGGGGGGGGGATCTATACTGAGCATTTCTAGAAACCTTGTCTCCGAAGCAGGAGGAAACAGATAAGGAACATCAACGTTCTTTACCTCCAAATGTGTTTCTTTTTAAAAAAGAAAATAACTAAGTTATTAAGCCTCGTCTCTAAGATAACTTATAATTCAGCCAAGTTATTTATTTTCTTCTTTTGAGCCAGTAAGTGTCTGCCGTCCGTGCTGGCGGCCCATCGTGTGGTGGTCCCAGCAGGCAGTGGGGGCACCCGTGCTCCTTGCATGACCAGACCAGTTCTGGAGCAGAATTTGCACTAAGGAAAGGAGAGGCCAACACGGGGGTGAGGTCCAGAGACAGGACGAATCCTCTGAGGCCGGCTGGAAAGCTCTGTTGACTGCCTGGAGGTCAGCACTCCCGGGAAAACCTGATCCCAATTTCGAGAAATGATTGAAAGCTTGCTTTCGTAGAGGTGTTAGTCGTGTGTCTAATTCTGTCAGGGCAAACTTCCGAGATCCAAAATGAAAGAAATGAGTGTTGCCATTTGTAGTTTTACCTTGCTTACTTCAGGGAAGAGCCATAGTTTGCAGACTCTAGTGTCAGAGGTTATTTTTCTAATAAGGGAACGGCCACCCTGGTTTGTCTGTTGATGTTTCTCTCACTTCATTTGCAGCAACTCAGACCAGCTGTGTTAGTCTGACAGCTCCCTGGGCTTTCACCAAACAGCTGATCCTGCTGCCAGCCAGGTATCGTGCAGTCGCGCGAGTCTGCCCTCACCCCCCGAGTTCAGCATCTCCTATCGGTAGATGTTAAAGAAATCAGATGCCGTGTCAGCATCTCAGTGAGTTCGTTAGAGCACCAGTTTATGCTAAACCACAAAAACCCTCCGAGCACAGCACCTGCTCACCTGTCCCCCTTCCCACAGCCCCTGTTTGTCCAGCCTCCCCCTGGGGGAGGCAGAATAGATCGTCTTGGAGTGGCCTTACTTTCCTAACTTATAAATGTTTTATGTCACATGGGCAAGCTGTCCTCCTATGACGTAGACTCTCCTCTTTCAATCACATACGGCTCAGGTGCCATTACAGCTGCTGCTGCTGAGTGAGAATGGGCAGAGCCGTGATGCCTAACCCTGCGCTGCACTTTGAATGTCGGTGAAAAGATGTTGTCTCTGATGTGAGAATTCAGATCCTGATAGTAATGAGGTCACTGCTCTTATGTAGCAAGTGTTTAGATTATAGTTAATTGTTGAACAAGCACATTCAGAATGGTTTTCTGGAAAATAAGTATAAAGATGTAGGAAATGGCCCCAAGTGATAATTACTCAGACCTTTATAAAAGTATTTTCATACTTGTGTGCTGCCATACGGTATTTAACCTTAAATCTGTCGTCTTGATTTTATAAAGCTCACCAAGGAAGCCTGATGGAAGTCCTTGCTTTTACTATGGAAATTGGCACTTTAGCTATATGTGAAGGACATTATTTTAAATAACTGACTCTAATAAAGTATTTTTATTATATTAAATGCCTGAGACTATGTTGTCTTTTTCAAGAGGTGGTCCCATTGTCAGGAGGATGCAGGAGGGGTTGTGTCAGGACTTCAGCCCTCTTCTTTATGAAGGTTAAAGCTGAAGACACACCACAGCTGAAAAGACTTGTAAGTCAAACCCCAGTCACTTTGATTTAAAAGTTCTACTTACACACCCGCCAGGTAAAGCAAGGTACACGAATTTCAAAACACACCCAAGTTGGAATGCACAGCGGAGCACCATTCTGCAAGAGGTTCTTAAGAGAACTTCGGTTTAATAAACAAAGCTACATGAGGAAAGTTGAAGTTTGCACTGACATGGCATTTAAACAAAACCTAAGGGCTGAAACTCAATATTTAGACAAAGAACAACACAGCCCACTATTCACGAGGCAAAGAAAATGGTCCACGGCAGGTGGCGCACAGAATTCCTGTACAAAACAAATGTCACATATTTTGCTTTGAGGAAACAGTGAATTGATGTGTCACAAATACATAATATAAAAATGCACAGCCCCTAAGACAAAAATCCACCACATGTTTTTCAGGTGACTTGCCCACCCCTTTACTAAAATAGGCCATTCTGGTGAATTGCTAGCTTTTGCCGTTTCGTCCTTTATAAAAGAGTGACAGGCATACGGACTGTGCAGAGTAAGAGAAATGTCTTATAAGAAGGGGCCTGAGCTGGTGAAACATTTGGACAGATGTGTCTCAAAGGGTGTGTCCCAGTTTCACTCCCGTTTCTCTTAAAGACAAAAAATATCTTAGAAACGATCCCTGGTGCCCAGGCCGTGGAGTGACTGTTTCCCTGTCACCCTCAATGTGAGGGAACACTGACAGCCTCTGCTCGGCACCCGTCCCCCTTCTGTCTAGGCCAGGGACACCGCGCTGCCTCGGGCCCTCCCGTGCCCGGTGCAGCTGGGTGGTGGTGGGCCTCCGGCAGCAAGGAGGCAGGCATCTCCCTTCTCCAAGTCCCGTTCACTTTCTCAGAAGCAGCTTGGCAAAGTCGGCATTGGACATCTTGGGAGCCTCGGTGACCTCGGAGGCGGTGGCCGCGGGCTTGGAGGCGGGGCCGTTCTCGGCCTGGGCTCCAGTGGCGCTCGGGCGGTGCAGGGCGCGGGGCAGCATGGAAAGCTGGGTCCTTCCCTTCCCCCGCCTGGAAGAGCAGACACCGAATGTACCCTTTCCAGGAACCATCGTGACCCTGGTTCATTTGGAGACAGCCCTGGCCAGCACCTGGCTGTCGGGCTTTGTTTAAACACATGAATTCAACTAGCAAAGAGGACTTTAGAATACTGAGAAGATGTGACCTTAAAGAAGTCACAGGGTATCTGGCAAACACCGGGAAGGGCTGCGCTGCAGGGGACTGGCTGGCTGCCCTAACGTGCTGTGCTAAGAGGAGACCAAGCCCCCGTGGTATGACGGGAAAGTCTGCACGGCTGGCATGCACATACTTACGCTCCATATGTCTGCCGGGGCGCAGTGGGGCCCCCTGGTCCTTTCCTTGCCTCTGGCTTCTCCGGAACTTTCCTCTGAGGGGGGTTGCTGATGGCCACTTTGATGACATTCTCTTTGATAGTCATGCCATCCATCTTCATGACCGCCTGTGACGCCTGGGACTCGTTTTCGTACTCCACGTAGGCCAGGCCCTGAAAGGGGCCAGAGGCAGGTCAGTGCTGGGGAGTCTGGTCGGGACAGGTACCCCGTCGACAGGTGACTTCCCACCACTGCCACCTTTGTCTACACAGGTTTGCTCCCTGCCCTACGCTTCCTCTTCACGTCTGTGACGGACTGGAACTTCAGTGACCTCTGTAAGGTCAGTACCTCCTGTGGTTGCTCCAGCCAAAGAAAGAAAAGGACCGACAGACCAGTGTAAATAAATCCAGCTATCCTTTCGGATGAGGTGCCTGGACCAGGGGAGCAGCCACGTGTGCCCTAATGTCTGTGCCTTTGTGCCCCCTTATTTCATACTAACTCTTAATTAACCTGGACAATGGGAGGGGGCAGAGAAGAAAGGCAATCCAAACCCAGGTTAAACATGGGTCCAATACTCAAAATGGGGTGCAAAGAGGGTTTAACAAGAGACTAGAAGGGGTGGAGGGAGCTGAGGAAATGGCTGGAGTCAGGCAGGAAGGAGACTGCAGAGGGCAGCCCCTCACCCCTAAGGCCTCTCCGTCTAATTCCGCACTGTGCTCCCCTGTGAATTCATGCTAGATTTTTTTTTATTATCTTTTGAGTACAATTAGATGCAGTTAATCTGACTCCAAATGCAAGCAGAGCCTAATGTGTCATTTATTTCTCAGCAGATAAACTAGGAACCCACCCTGGACCCCAATGATCTGCACAGACGCAGAGCTGGCTTCCCCCGAGCCTGGACGTCCACTCCGACACTGACCTTCGGCTTGCCAGCCCGGTTGGTAACCAGCCTGATGTCCTTCACGGTGCCATGAGCCTGGCAGATCTCTTCGAGCTCCTCTTTAGTGCAGGAGAAGGGCAGGCCCGAGATGAACAGCTTGTGTTTCTCCAGGGCAGTGCTGTACCGGAACACCTAGGAAGGAAGGGGGGGACCAACAGTCAGAGGCGCAGCAGCACACTGGCCGGCCAGGCAGGCCGGAGCTGACCTGGTGCTAGGAACTGGTAACTGGGCATGTCACCACGTCACTCCTCTACAGAACGGCTACAATGAAAGGAGCTTTTCTCAGCGTGGGTTCCCCTAAGGCAATGGTCGGCAATCACCAGAGCCAAATACCAACAGTACAACGATTGAAATTTCTTTGAGATCCGAAAACAGACTTCTGCGCGAGGGCCACAAAGTTTCAATCACATTGTACGTGTGCGCCCACACATGGTATTTTATGGAAGAGCCACACTCAAGAGGCCAAAGAGCCACATGTGGCTCTCAAGCTGCAATTTGCCAACCACTGCCCTACGGTGATATTATACATAAAACATTTAGCACAGTCACTCCTATGCTCTCAATGGACCATCGCCATTATTCCGATTCCTCATCTTATGATCACGTATTAGCTAATGTGAGCTCCAAGTGACTGAGCCATGAATCGGACCTTAATTAACCAGCTCAGAACATAGCTATTCCATGTATGTGCACAATGTTCAGTCCGTCTATAGCAGCCCTGCAGGAAAGCCATTCTTTCCCCACAAACATACCTTAAAGTCAGGGTTTTTGCTCTTGTCCACGCAGGGGGAAACGAACATTGGCCTCCCGCCTACGTCCCTCCGGTCCAACCGCAGCGCCTGCAGGGCCGCCTGCTCCTCCTTGAACTCCACGTAGCAGTAGCCCCGGAAGTCGCCCCGGTTGCTGAAGATGGGGCGGACCTCGGCCACCTCCCCGCAGGCCTCGAAGAGCGGCCGCAGCTTCTCGTCGGGCTCCGCCATGCTGTAGGGCAGGTTGCTGACAAAGACGGTGACGCTGTCCTTGCTGCTGTCGTGGGGCACCTTGGGCACGTCCTTCTTCGGGGCGGCGGCCCTCTCCTTCTGCTTCGAGGCGGGGGTGTCGTCTGCAGAGGCGCTTTTCCCAAAGAGACCCGTTTCCGCTGCCAGGTCCGGGGCCTCCGGGGCCTCCGCGGCTGCGGGGACGCTGTTCTCCAGCTTCCTGCGCTTGGAAGGCCGCTCTGCGGGCCGTCGGGAGAGAAGCAGCAACAATTACCTTCCCTCCCTCACTGGTCACTGAGCCGGTCCCCCGACGGCTCTTCCCACTGCGCACGGCCGGCTGCTGCAGCGGCACGGACCAGCACCCGCTCCTCCTGTGGCCAGCGAGCACCACGCCTGCCGTCTTTCCTGGCCCGCGGGCCGGTCCACCCCTTCCTGGACTCGGATGACATTCGGACGAGGGGGCTGACTCAGTTAGAAACAGTGAGTCCTCTCTGTCCACTTAGTTCTGTGAAAGTCACGGGGTCTGAAAAGTACAGCTGGCCAACCCACGGCCCCGCTCCCACAAGCCTCAGGTCAGCAAGGACAAGGCTTGGGCACCTGCGTCTAAACAAGCGTCTGGGTGACTCTGAAGTGTGTGCTTCACGTGACCACACTCTGGAAAGCTCTGCAAAGGGCTTACCGTTCCTAACTACGTCCACTATTGTCTTGTGTCCTTCCAGAAAGATTAACAACATCCTGCTCCAACCCACCTCCCCACTTTCTCCAGAGGCACAACACTGAAACCCATTTGGTGTTGGACTCCCACTTCCAGACCCTTCCACCAAGTTCCCGCTGCTTCCTGAAGTCTCACCCTGCACACTGTATTCAAGAGCACCCCTGAGTGGGGCCCAGCCAGCTGGCCTGCTGCTGCTGCAGCCTCACCACCCATGCACCTGGCCCCCAGCATGCACCGGGGCACACACCCAGTCATTTGCTGCTCAGAGAGAATGCCAGGCTGTTTTGTGCTTCGTGCTGACACCAGCCTGGCTTCCCTTCTTTCCCTCTCAACAGTCACTCACTCCTCCTCCGATGCCAAGGTGCACACACATCACTCTCATGAACTCTTTCTTGCAAGAGCTGATCCACTCAGGCCTTGACTTCCACCGTAATCCCCATCTCACCTGCCACAGATTACACACCATCACAGTCACATGGCACGTTTGCCTTACCCTGCTAGCCCAGGAGCTCTGAGGGGCAAAGAGCTACCGCGGTCATTTCTGAAGGCCCCAAAAAGGTGTGCAAGAAAGGTCACCTGAACGATGGCTCCATTCCCATTTCCCTCTGGCTGACAACTTTGTACCAGGAAAATGCAGAGTTCCTTCATGTCTAGAGACAATTCTTTACCTTGACTGACGGCGGAAATAAATCTGATACATACCTACCCATTTCTGAAGTTGCATGGCTGACAGAAACACTGGTTGAAAACTCTGACTCAAAACCATAGGTGAGGGCAAGAAGGCAAGTGTCTATAGGTGGGGCTAGGCCAGTGGTCGGCAAACTGCGGCTCAAGAGCCACATGTGGCTCTTTGGCCCCTTGAGGTTTTAGCAAAGGCCAGCTTAGGAGTACCCTAATAACACTGTACCTACCTCTATAGTTTAAGTTTAAAAAATGTGGCTCTCAAAAGTCATTTCAATCGTTGTACTGTTGATGTTTGGCTCTGTGGACTAATGAGTTTGCCGACCACTGGGCTAGGCAATGGTAAGGGACACTGCACCCTGGGCGGGAAGGGGATGAACATGGGACAGGAACAGCTTGGGGTACGGGAGGCCGAGTGGTGAGGAGGGCAGTGGAGGCAGCAGCACAGAGAAGGGGGCGGAGCGCAGGCCCCTTGCAGGGCAGGACCTGGCACAGAGGCAGGCAGAGACAGGAAGGGTGGTGGGGTGTCTTGCCAGCACCTGTTCTCAATGGTTCAAGAAAAAAAGTTCTTTGTACTGTTTTTTTGCAACTTCTCCGGGAGGCCGAGATGTTCCAAACCGTGTTTGTGAAAAGCTTTACCTTCGTCCTCGTCGCCCCACTCATTCTCATTGTCCTCATCTGCTTTGCGCTTGTCTGCGCCTCTGGTCTTTTTCTTTCTCTGCGCCTTCTTCTCGGCCCGGGCCTTCTTCCGGAGCTCAGCCTTCTCCTCCTCTTGCTGGGCGAGGGTGGCTTCCTTCTCCGCAGCCTGGAAAATGGGCATGTGGTGCATCACCGGACGCAGCAATGACACTACCGCCCGGTGGTGGGCGTGGACGGAGGGGCCAGGGCGAGGAAACTCATTACCCAAGTGACAGGACGCGATCATGGAAGATGGGCTCACACCGTCCCTGCCAGGCTCTCCCGGCCTCTCGGGATCCCTCTCCAACCCACAGTGTGTCTCACAACAGCCCAGGAATTGCCACGAGAAAGAAAAGAATCTGAGGAACGGGGGCCCTGATGAATTTGGGGTGTTCATATTCCAATCACTAGAGAGGCTCTTAATTATTTTTTATTTTATTCTAGTAAATTTTAGGGCCAAAATCCCCCCACTACATAAAATAGTATCTATTGTTCGGGCTAAAGTTTAAAGTTGTTCTAAAAAATAATAAAAGACTGATTTAAATATTGATTCAAATATGTCAGAATAAATACTTTCTAAGCAAAAGACATATTTTAGATAGAATTCAAAGTTTTGACAAAAAAAATATTCACCGCAAACAAGGTTAAAACAGCCATCAGAAGGTCCTAAGGGTTTCTATAAACAGCACCATTACCTTAATCCTCTGCTCATTCACACGGGCTAAGCGAGTTTCGGTTTTCTGAACAGCTATATCCCAGTCTTCCAAAGTACCTTAAGGGAAAAAGAAACAAACTTTCAGTTTTGGGGTTTGGGAAGCTTTTCTGAATTTCCCCACCCTCAGGAGAGCTCTCCCCTTCGAGAGTCAGCTCCCCATTTTAAGGTGATTTCACTGAAAGGTTTAGAATTCCAAGTCCTTCGAAGCTGTGATTAAAACATCCCTTCTCAAAAACAAAAACAACACAACAAAAAGCATCCCTTCTTTCAGAAGAGACTTAAAAACCAGAATATGGTGTATTACGGGTGCTCCCTGGCAAAGATGATGAAAACATTCCAACACAAAAGGTGTAAGACACATTAAGGCAGTTGAGCATCTCAAATGATAAATGCTGTTTGGATGTTCCATTTCAAGTTCTGAGGGATTCCCACCCAAAATCCAGACCACTGCCAGGGGTAAATTCTCTATTTTCCTACTGGAAACTTAACATTGAGGCTCTAAACTTCGCAGGTGAGGCACACATTACTCCTTTGCACCTGTGCTCCTCTGGCATGCATGACCTGCTGGAGCAGAGGGTCTCAACTGGAGTGATCCTGACCCCAGGGGTCATCTGGAGTCATGACTAGGGGCAGGGAGATGTGCTACTGGCACCTCGTGGGCAGAGGGGCCAGTGCTAAAGATACTGTGGTGCACAGGATGGGCCTCTACAAAGAATTCTGAAAACCCATGCTAGAACTAGACGGCTCAGGGTCCTCCTGGATCTGGAGATCACAGAGGATTCGATCTCATGGTGAGCACCACTCAAGGGTAGGCGTACAGTCTGTCCTTAGACTCCAAGCAGAAGCAGAGCCGAGGGTCCCACCTTCTGTCCTCTCCATGGTGAGCAGCACTTCACAGACGTGCTCTGGGTAGTCACTGGTGCACTGGACGGCGCGGTGCAGAGCCTTCCTGCAGTGCTGGGTGTCGCCGTGCGCCCTAGGCAAAAAGCGAACAGGCTGCCACCCAGACAGGAGCAGAAGGCACACGAGGGAGGGCAGCTTCTCACAGGCAGAGCCCCAGGACCAGCAGCTCTGGCTCCAGCACCCTCCACCAGTACAATGTTGTAGCAAAGGAAACGCTGCTGGTGTCCGGGGTGCAGTCTAATCCAGCTTTTTCATGGGACTCCATTTTCACTTCCTAACATGTAAATGTTAGAGTCCTAGATAACTCACACAAACAAAAGCTTGGGGGAGGGAGGCTCCTCAAATGTTAAGAGTGCCAACGGGTTCCGAAACCAGTTTGAGAACCTCTGACCTGGAGGGAAATCCAACAAGCTTTACTAGTGTCCTCTCTGGGGGTGGGATTATAGGAAACTTTCACTTCTATGTTCAAGATCTACTGAAGAACAAACTGGTCATATTCTTAATGTCTTCTCCATGTAATCAATATTACTGAGCATACCTTATTTAATGTAAAGTCATTTTAGAGCTTTGTAAAAGGTACACTACAATTGCATTTTCCTTTTGTAAACAGGAAAGTATCTTAAGAAGATACCCAACAATTAACTAATGGTGGTTACGATTGGGTCCATAATTGTAAATAATTTGGGTGTTTTTTTTTCCTCCTGTGCTTTTTAATATTTTACACTTTTTATACAAAGCAAATTTAATAAAAATAGCTCCCCAAAAGTCAAATAAAATATTCATGTGCAAAAATCAAAACCAACCAACCAAAAACCCACCAAATTTAAAAGAAACACCTAGCACCAAAACTGGTTTGGCTCAGTGGATAGAGCGTCGGCCTGCGGACTCAAGGATCCCGGGTTTGATTCCGGTCAAGGGCATGTATCTTGGTGGCGGGCACATCCGCAGGAGGGGGTGTACAAGAGGCAGCTGATCGATGATTCTCTCTGGTCAATGTTTCTAACTCTCTATCCCTCTCCCTTCCTCTCTGTAAAAAAATTAATAACATATATATTTTTTTAAAAGAAACACCTAGCTATAACAGCCCAGACACAATATACTATGCTAGTTCTCTAGCCCGGCCCACTAGAGAGAGGTGAAAGTAGGTGGTGGCCCACTGCAAAAAGCAAGCCCAAGCCAGCCGGTGCCAGCCGGTGCCAGCCGGTGTCAGCCAAGACTGAATACAAGTTACCCGACAGCGCACCGCCACCCCGCCCCGTTCGTTACCTTTCCAGGCTGTAATACTCAAGCCACATGTTGGCGTACTTGGCGTTTCCTTTGGTCATGATGCTGTCCCAGAGCTCCCGAGCCTTTTGCATGTTATTACACAGCCGAGCCTAAGATGCATGACAAGGCCCAATTAGGAAAGCACCTGAACCGCATGACACCAACAGCCCTTCCAAAACAGACTTCAGACGGATCTGCCTGAAAAGCCATCCCGTCACTGGCATTCCCTAGGCCGCCCTCCATGGTCACAGGCCAGGCCAACCACGTCAGCCTTTCTGCAGCGACAGCCTCGGTGTCTGCCGAGGCCTCAGAGTGGGAGCCCGGGGACACTACAGCAGTACCGACTATTCGCTTGTGTTTTTTCTTTTTTCTTTTTTTCTTTTTATCAAACATAACTATCAGGGTTAATCTGAGCAGCAGTGTAGAGAAAGTCTGATCTGGAAGCAAATGCCACTCCCCCATTTACTAAGTGACTGGGGCAAGTTGCTTAATCTCTCTGAACCTCAGGTGCCTCAGCTTGAAAATGAGAACACAAACACCCATCCAGAAACCACCCCAGTGTTTCTCTGGCCTGACTCCCTCAGAGAATAAAACACTGGAATTTTACAATTCTATAATGATGATCAAGGGCAGGTCCCGTGTCCTACTCCACTTGGAGTCCATGGTCCAGTAACTCAACCTTGCTATCCTGTGATTATCTGTCACACCGCCTGCCTTCCACACCAGATAAAATCTTACCAGCACAGGGAACCATGCCTACCTCATTTCCCAGCACCCAGTCGAGTGCCTGGGCAAACAGCACCCACCTGATAACTCTCATGAATGGGACACTGGGCAAGGGAGAGAAGTACATGAGTGAACGCCTGGCGTTCAGACCTTGCTGCACACCTTCTTCTTGGGAGCTAATATTTGCACTAAGATATAAACTAATGTGCACAAAGCTAGGTAAACAGCACAGGTCCCTACAGAGCCTAGACCATCAGCTGGGATTCTGACTCAGCTTCAGCCACACTAGCAGACCAAGGCCCTTCAAAGGCGGATGGAACCGATGGATTTGTCAAGAAACATTTACCTCGATCCTGGCCCAGTTCTGCATGATCATGCAGCTTGGATCCCCACTCTCATTGAAACCTTTAAAAACAAAATTAACCAAAATGAGAAAGTAGCTTAGAGACCAAGAGCCTTTGCCTGAAAAGGCACCTCAACCCGGAGCAAGAAATACAACTGGACAAAGCGGGGGGGGGGGGGGGGGGGGGGCGCACACTCACGTTCTTCCACCTCCTGCTGCAGATACTCCAAAGCACGGGCGAAGGCGGACCGCAACTCCTCCAGCTCTTTACTGGAGTCTGGAAGCAAAAGAGGTCTGTCTTTTTATCGCACACTGAAACTCCCAGGGGCCTGTTTATGCACCTGGCATCGCGCTGGGGACACAGAGTGAAATTGCCAGCCCCCGCCCTCATCACACAGAGGGCAAGACACACTGGAGCAGAGCACAGCACGGTGGGCAGTTTAGTGATGACAGTGAGCACTGGTACAGGGTGCAGTGTGCGGTCTCCCCAGCCAGCAGAACGGCTCAAGGTCACGTGCAAGAACGAGTTAGATGGGGGTTCTGGCTGCTATTCCTTTTGAGGAGAAAGGAGAACAAAAAGGGAGTCCTGCAGAGGTTTAAAGATTTAATAGAAGCACAGCAGTCTTACTTAGAGAACTATTTCGGACATATAGAATGGAGAGAAGAGGAAAATAAAAATGAGACAGAAGAAGCTAGCAGGAGCCAGCATAAAACAAGGACCATTACTCCCTTCCTTTACAATCCACAGCATGACTTGTTAAAGACTTAAGCCACTAAAACTTTGGGAGTGGGGGTTTACCAATGGCTGGTCTGTAACATTTGCCCAATCACAATGTATTTGGGCAACCAGAACACCTCACCAAAAGATATGTTAAGGAAAAACAGTTCTGCTATAAAGCACATGAACTTAAATACCTTGTTTGAAATCAACCCTTCTCCTCAGGTAGTCAAGGTATGCTTGCCAGATCTCCACATAGTCGGTGGCCTGAATGAAGCCAGCACTCAAAGCTTTCTCGAAGGTCACTGCAGGTGAAGAAAAAGAGGGTTTGAGGTCAATTAAGAAAGAAACCAATATACAGTTATCAAGATTATTATAAAAACCTTTACTGACCATAAAGTACTAAATAATTCAACATCATAATAAGATGCAATGCACTAGAAAGAAATGTCCCAAAGGAGAGCCATGCAGCAAGGCACAGCTGTGTTCTAGAAAAAGCAGTAAGAGTTCCAGGTCAAGTCCATTTGGAGAAAAGACTCCAGGAAGATCACAAACATTTAGCATGTTAAAAAGTTCTAAGACGTCAAAAAACAACCAGTTTACCTCCCACTTCAGAGGGAGCCCTTTTGTCACTCCTCCCCACTCTCCTAAAGGAACAGGCTGGGGAGACTTCCTCAGAACTCTAGCTCCGGACTTGGGACAAAAAGCTTTGAAGGTTTTCAATAGAAACATTCGCACCAGAGATCACTTGATGGTCAACTCCATGTCTTTCCAGGGCCAAGAGGTACCGACTCCACAGGGCCACCGTCCAGGGGCAGTTCCTGACAGCACGACTGTGTACGGATAAAACCAAGTCCTTGACTTTCAGCTGCCGGTCCTGTGACAAAGAAGTCCAGGGTTAGGAGAGAAAAATTTACCGTTAAAAGTTCACCATCCATGAGACAGTTCCAGAGCTACCAAATGACAGAGAAATTTCCTTAGAAATGTCTCTTTCCAAAGAAATCGCAAAGGGAGTGAAAGAGAGGAGAGGTGGAGAGGGCAACCTGCAGATTAAATGTCCAACCATAATGTATGGAGCTTGTTTGGATCCTGATTCAAATCTGTTATTCATATATACTGAAATATTTGCCAAGGAAACGTGATTTCGGATTTAATATAAAATAACTTGGAATGGGAAAAGTAGGTAAGGATATAGATGAAACTACATTAATGCCATTAGGTCATTGTTGAAGCTGGCGATGGGTACATAAGGTTACAGTTTACTAATCTGTCTACATTTATGTGATTGCATTTTTCCATAATAAAAGGTTAAAAAAATTTTTTTAATCTGTGATAAAGTCTTCAATAGTGAGACTATGTAATCCTAAAACACTAGGAGGACTTCCTAAGTGAGCTGACAAAGGGAGGATGAAGGAAAAATGAGGACCAGCAGAGATGAGCGGCATACAACTCCGAGCGCTCTACTGGTTTTCTTTAGATAGATCCCAAGTAAAATGAAATTGGAACAGTCATCTTACTAGGTACTGACTGTAACGGATCCACAAGTCTGGAACCAGGCAGTTCTCAACCAGGGCACGCTCAAAGATCAACTGAATGCGAGCAGGATCGCCGATTTTCATCTCAAAATCGATGTATGCTTGATATTCGGCCAGCCGGGGAGTTTCTGCCTCCAACTGGACAAAGGAGAATGGCAAAGGAGATGAAATGAGCTGCTTGACGCTGTCAGGAAGCACAACACATCTTCACATTCATCTCTGGTGAGACTGGCTACCCCAAGAACCACCAATCCCCTCGCAGAACCTCTACAAAAGCACTCTGTCACCGCATTAGCTACAAAAGCTCCTCAAACCCTTTTCTAGATCCATCGCTGGACTACAGGGCATTTAAATCGGGAATGAAATGAAAGAGAAACACCCTTGCCAATGACCAATATAAGCCATCCTTCCGAAGAAGTTATTGTCATGGCCTGCTGAGGACATGAAAGAACCACACTGGAGCAATTCGGTACCCTGTGCTAGTTCAGGTTTCTCATTCCAAATATCAGCTCCTGCCAAGCGCAGGTACGTGCAGAAGATGGAAGAGGCTACACTGAATGTCTACTGACCCGATCAAAAATCTTTTTGAACAAAACCCTCTTACTTGACTTGTTTTCTTTTCAGCCACACTCTGCTGATAGTGAAAACAAAACTGAACTGGCTGAGGCTGTCATTGATGAAGTTTTGTGAAATAAATTACATACAAATCATTTACATGTAAAAAAGAGGAAGCACATGCAAAACAGCGAGAGAGCACACATGTTCTAAACATAGAAAGAAGCTGTCTTAGAGCTGAGTTCCTAGTAATAATGACATACTAGTGACCCAGACACTGTGCCATTGAAAACTACTAAAACTGCTGGACTAAATATAAAAAACATCCTGAAAATCATCAACAAACAGGTTAAAAAAAACCTTGTTAAGGACAAGATCTAAGTGAAGGTGGTTAAGTGAAGGTTAACTTTTGCTGGCCTAAGAAATATTTTTGACCTTCACAACAATCCTATGAGGCAGGTATCACTACTATCCCCGTATTTCAAGGCAAATGAAGCACAAGGAAGCTAAGTACAAGCCCCAAATCAGAGCTGCTAAGTGGCAGAGCTAAAATTCAAACTGGAGGCAGCCTGGCTCTCAGTATCTGCATTCTTTAGCCCATGAGAGAGACCAAAATCAAAGCTAAGAAGCCCAACAAACCACAAGCAGGATAAATACAAAGATATTCACGCCTGGACCTACGATAATGAAATTGCAGGACATCACACAAACCAGTGATATTAAAACCAACCAGAGAAAAAAACAAGGGTTACCTTCAAAGAAGCAAGAGTTAGACAGACGGCTGACTTCAAAACAACAGAAGTCAAAAGACAGAAAGACATATTTAACTGCTGAGAGAACACAATTGTCAATCTAGAATTCTATATCCTGAGAAATGAACTTTCAAGGAGAGCAACAAACTTTTCCAAACAAACAAAAAACAAGAAAATCTGTTACGAGCAAATGTCCAGTGTGCTAGACTCTTCTAAAGGATAGACTTCAGGTAACAGAAAAGTGATTCCAGATGAAAAAACTAGGACGCAGGAAGGAATGTAGTAAATGTAAACAAACTAGACTGTGACGCAAAATTAACAATGATGCTTATAGATCAAACAAAAAGACAAGAAATACAAGATCACAAGAGACTAAGTCTGAAGAAAGGCAAATGAAGTTAAAAGTATTCTAAGACCACGATAGAGAAAAAAAATGCCACTTACAAATAATATTGTATAAGAAAACACAACTATTGTCAACACAGAAAATCCAAAAGAATCCATCAATTATTTTTAGTTTTACTTATTAATTTTTAGAGAGCGAGGGAGGGAAGGAGGGAGGGAAACATGGATTGGTTGTTCCACTTACTTATGCTTCACTGGTTGATTCTTGTATGTGCCCTGACCAGAGGACCGAACCCACAAGCTTGGTATATCAGGATGATGCCCTAACTAACTGAGCTACCCACCAGGGCATAAATTATTAATATTAGTAATAATTTAGCAAGTTAGATTTAAAAAAATTAGTATGAAAACACATTACATTTTATACACCAGAAGCAACTAGAAAAACTAGAAAATACTATCTTTAAAAAGATATAATGTAAACCAGTGGAATGGCAGAGAGAGGCCAGAAACAGACCCCCACCTACATGGACAGCTAATCTATGGGCGATGTGGGGCTGCACATGCGTGAGGGGAGAGAGAGAGAATTAACAGAACGAGTGCGGAAACATGGAAAATGAAATTGGACCCTGCTTCATACCATACAAAAAATCAACTCAACTCCAAATGGAGACCTAAACATAAAACACTAAATTATCAACTTCCAGGAAAAAGTAATAGAGCTAAGTATAGTAATGATTTTGGAGTATAGAGATATTTCTTGAGCATAACAAAAGCATAAACAAAAGGAAGAGAATGATAAGTCCATGTACATGAAGATTGGTCATGAAAAGATGCCATTTTTTAAAGTAAGAAGTGGGGGCAGGGGGCGCACATTCTACAACACCTATAATCAAAAGGAAGATTTAAGTTCCAGGACCCCCACAGATCAATTAGAAAAAAAGGAAAAAGGATAAATCAAAAAGAAAATGTGTCTAAGACACTTTTCACCACAGAAGCACTTCACCAAAAAAGAAAATCTGAATGGCCCACAGATGAGAAAAGATGCTCAACCCCATTAGCAATCAGGGAAATGCAAATTAGAACACCAGTTTCAGACTCAACGGATTGGCTACATTTTAATATGGCAATATTCAAGGTAACAAAAGCAAGGGGCCATCTCAGGTCCTGCTGGGGGAGTGCAGACTGGTAACCTGGCCAACAGTCCCATTCCTAGGTGCACACTTAGAGAAACCCTCTTCCCGTGTCCAAGAGACATGTGCAATGTCAAAGCAGACACTGGAAATAACCCAACTAAGAACATGGGCAGATTGTTTACATACAGACAACTTTATAGCAAAACAAATGGCTGTCACTATACTTATCAATGTGTAAAACCCCAAATCAGGTTGAATAAAAAAGTATACAACATGACTCCACTATATACAAGAAACAAACTTGAAGCAATATATTAATTAAGGATACGTTCACAGGTTGTAAAACTATAAAGAAAAGCAAGGGAATGAGAATCACAAAAGTCAGGAAAGTGGTTACCTCGGGAGAGGGAAGAGGAGGCAATCGGAGAGGGGCCCTTAGGAGACTTCTAAGGAACTGGCAATGTCCTATTTCTTAACCTGGGTGGTAGGTACATGGATGTTCACTTTATTAGTAGTATGTAAACTGCAATATACATTTATACACTCTATATATTTCACAATAAAACAAGTTTAAAAGAAACTGTTTCACTTGCAACTACCCATCAGGGAAAAGCTTACAGAGAGACGTTTACTGAAAAGCAGCCCACACTTACCAGTGCTTCCTCATAAGGTTTGTATTTCTCCAGCTGCTGCAGTGCTTTGTGGTAGCTCTGAATCACCGACTCTGGCACTGGGTCTTCCGACCACTCTTCATACTCTGCAAACGTTGCCTCCATATCTATTGAAAAATGGATTCAGCACGTTGGGTCTTGTAATTGGATCTTAGGAATCCAAACATAGATTAAACCATGAGAGTCAAATGCCACTAACTCCTCCCACATCTGTGGCCATAGCAGCTCTTACTGACCAAATCCTGAGCTCTTCTGCTGAGCTCACGTTTGGCCTTAGACTCTGTCTCAAAATATTAGCCCAGGCAGTCCAGTCCCTACCCATTAATCAATCAGAATTAATGAAACTAATAGCAAAGCTTTAACAACACTTACCTGGCACTTCCTAGGTTCTAAGTCATCGTAGCCATTAACTCATCTGATGCTCACAGTCTATGAGGTGGGTTCTACTGTGTTCCCCATTTTGCACTGTCCACAGGAAATGGCAGAGCAAGGGTTTGAACCCAGGCAGTCTGGTTCAAGTTCACGCGCTACTCACTATGCTATGCTGCCTCACACTGGGATGAGATGAACTCTACAAGCCAGTCCCATTCTAGCCTTTTCTGCATGACACCCAAAGATTCAACTGGAGAGACACTTTATAATTTGTCAAGTGAAATCCAAATAAGCTGTGAAGTAAAATGAGAAATAACTCCCGGGCTCAGTGAAGTTATCCAGAGGTTCTGAGGGTGCACAGTACCCCAGGTCTAGGCAACACACAAGATGGCAATGTCAAACTCTTCTCGTGCTCGGAAAAATCCTCCCAGTGCTGCTCATGCTCCAGCTCCAGAACCTCAAAGGCTTGGCTTGCCAAAATATATTCCTCAAAAAAGGAGAATCCTTACCAAATCCCAGGGAATTCAGGGATGAATATTTGCAATCCCGAACCAAATCACCCCACCGAGGAATGGTCCAGGGCCACGTAAACTCCCACGTGGCATATATTGTTTATTTAGCAACAGTTTATGCCACGTAAGTACCCTCGTGGAAGGGGGTACTCCTCAAGAGAAAATGCTCCAAATGGAACTCTGCTCAATCCAGCTTCCCCATAAGACACAGGGAGTCAGTTTCCCTATTCCTCTCTGCCTCTCCAACAATGTCCGAACGACTGGGACTTCCTGCCTCTGACCCTCATAACGAACTTGAGCATTAATAATTCAAGGTATATTTTACCTAGGGACTCGTCCATAGTGACACTGTCCAGTGAGAATAAGGAAATCAGCCACATTTGCCTCCTGGGATGCTGGGAAAGGCCTAATCACATGACATACCCCAAGCACTTTAAAAACCACGAAGGGCCGGCTCTTGTCTTACCGTAGAGTGGGATTGCCAGCTGTCGCCGGAAGAGACTGTGCACTTTCTCCAGCTGTGAATCAAAGGTTTGTTCCCGGTCAAAAGGGGAAAGGAAGCCAGCCATGGGCTAAAGAAGTAAATTTGTAGTAAATGACACACTTTGGTCCTTCCTACCTCAAAATTATTTCATTAAAATTTTTTTCCAACACATTTTTAGTTCAAACTAAAAAAAAAAAAAATCATGACCTCTTTCACGAGGTAATATCTTGGTAAAGATGAAGACAGCACTGCCAATTTTTCAAGAATGTACTAGGCCACTTTAACAATAACGACCTATAGAGGGCTTCACTACGTATCAGCAACTGTGTGCCCACACACACACAGTGGAGAGGGACGGTAAAATTCTGCAAGTTACAGTCTAAAAACTGCATTTCTGATGGGGTCAAATCTCTCACAGTAACTACTGGACATTTTTGGGGGGAGGGGATGCGGAAGGGGTAGTGACATGGTTATTTTTGTATTTTATTCTGGTCAGTAACTAAAACAGTAATATTTTTAAGTATCGAGAACAAATTGTAGAGTCATGTGCTTTACAGTAAAGAAATCATTCTTGCTAGTCTAAAAACTATTTATTTCATGTATTTACCTGCCCGCACACCAAGGAATTGGCGAAGCCCATTTTATGAACTATGTCCCTCCAAGAGCACTTACAGAGACAGCCCGACCATTCAAAGGCAGGCACAGTCCCGGAGACGGGAACTCACCCGGGCAGCTTCCACAATGGCATTTTCGAACTCCCGGTACGCCTCCCAGATGGCCAGTCCTTTGGTCATATGCAAACCCACAGACGAGAGCGCCCTTTCAAACACAGAGCGGACTTTCTCAAGGCCGCCTTTCTGACCAATCCCACCGACTGAGTACTGGCCATACTCGAGCCAAATGTTTGGACCTAAAAATGAGAAGAGTTCTATTAGTTCACAACATGAAATACCCAAATAGCAAAAATGAGGCATAACAAAAGAAATGTGCCACCAAAATAGTCCTCATTCATGCAAAAAAGTAACAGCATCATTAATAAGCATCCCAATCCACCTATTCTAATGCTGCAGGCTAAAAAGAAAGTATACCCAACCATGTGCCTAGCAGGAATATTCGTTGAGATGTTACTGAATAAACAGTATATGCCACATGGTAATATGTACAAAGACCATGATCACAAAGCTTATTTATTAAAACTGAAGGAACTCAGTGATAGATTTCAATGAAAATAGTTAAGAATCTGAGTCAATCTTCAGAAAGATTTGAAAACCTAAAATTTTTCAAAGTGAAAGAAAAAAATTAAAAGCAGCAATACTGTTAATAGAAATCTATTTTAAAATCTATTTTTAATAATTTTTAAACAATGACAAAAAAAGGTTGCTTGGTTGCTTTGTTCCTTTCACTCCTTTTAAATGTTTATATACTCACTACCACAACTTTAAGACCAGACCAATGAGTAAAAAGATCTTTATGAATGTATCTATTCTTATTATACATGGTTTGCCTGTACTTTTCAAAGACTTGAAAATACTTTCAGAAGCCTATGCACTAACTTTGTGAAATAAAAATACCAGAAAGATACAGAAGCCAATTTGAGGATGACTGTTTTCCCGAGGCTTGCTTTTTCATGAAATCGGTTTATTTCAAGAACTTAGCCAAAGCTTTAGCCACTCTGTTTCATGCACCAACAAAGAGCTGCCAGATGGGCTGCAAAATAAAAATGGAAATGAGCTAGCTCTTTGGAGGTGAGGGCCTGAGTAAGGGGAGGTCAAGTTTACAGATGGTCCGTGAAACGGTTCCTCCTCTCAGAGAAGGTGATTTTCAACAGATTACAAAATGGCCCCTCTCAACAAATAATCTAGACAGGGACCAATATTATAAACAGCATTTTAACTCAGAAAACCCAGGTGTCACTGGATCCCAAGTTCCCAAACAGGCACGATGCCTCCGCACCAGACTCCTCCAAGAGGCAGGAACCTGGTTTCCAAAACCTCTGAGGAGCCAAAGGGCCGAGCCATCTCCAACTACAGGAGCATCCCTCACCCCAGCAATCACCACTGAGTACGTGCTGAGAAATACAGGAAGGCCTTCCAGGCATCTTCAAACATGAAAAACATAGTTAAAAACTAAAATGCAAAGAATAGAAAAAATAAATAGAAAGGACAACAAAATAAAAAGCAGGCCAAGTGGCTTCTGAACATTCAAAACCAGTGACAATTTGCACACACTGAAGCTCCAGGAAATAACACAAGGACCCCTGGGGTCCCATTCAAAACTGCTTAGAAGACATCCTCTAAGGAGGAGTTAGCCAGTCCCTGGCCCACAGCAGCCCTGGAGCAGCTGGTGGGAGGGCAGGCACGCTGTCATCAGCACTAAGTGACAGCGGAGGCCTGACCACAGGGAGGACCGCAAACCCTATGGGACCGAAAACCATCGCTGGCGGTCTGGGAAGGACAAAAAATCCTTGTAGAGAGAGCCGGTGCTGTTAATGACCCTGAGACGTTAAGAAAGGGGTAACAGGATCAGCAGAAAACAAGGGAACATCATGTATTTGGAACTCAGAGATTCTAAGAGGCCACAGGGCCGGCACATTCTGAACAAAGACACAGGATACCTTTTAAAGGCACATTCAGTATAACGTCATATTCACCAAACATCTAGAATTTTCATTATTTGAATTATGAAAAGTTAAGTTTCTATTCTTCTTGGCTGGTAAAGGTACACAAAAAATCCTCTCCCTCCGGGCAGTTTACCTGCTAAGTGCTGACACTGCTCTCAAGGGAAAGGCCCAGAGCGGAGACAGGAAAATCAGATGGGGAAGAAGGGCTTAATTAGAGGGGAGAATGTTTAATGCTTTTTAAAGCATTTTGTCTACAGCACTAATGTGCTCCCCAATGTATGTAGAGACAATATTTAGAGAATTAACTATCAACAGGGAGGGTAAAGGGACTTAAGAGGAAGCCAGGCACCCCCATTCCGTTGCACTGAACGGTCAGCACCAGACCAGGAACTCTGTGGTGGGGGAGGGTCGGTACCTCGGTGGCTACTGGAAGCTACACGGATAAAATCCACAGAACCACACACACATTGCACCAAGGTCAACTTCCTGGTTTTGATTTTGTTCTACTGTTATAAGATACTGGGGGAAACTGGACGAAATAAGATTGTTTGTCAAACAATAGGACTTCTCTGCACTACTTTTGCAATTTCCTATAAATACAGAATTTTTCAAAATACGAAATTTCAAGGTTTTTAATATGAAAAATAAAAATTCTGTCCAAAACTTCTAAAAACCTAGTCAATATGTAAAAGGTGACCTTTAGCCATCTGGAACTAGTACCATGTAAATTCTTCCTGCCAGATAAATGCTGGGTGTGAGTATATCCATCCACTTACTTAAATATTTTTTCTATTTGTACAGGCAGACCTCAAATTTGCAGGTTCGATTCCAGACCCCCCATAACGAAGCAAATATCGAAACAAAGCCAGTGACACACATTTTTTGGTTTCCCAGTGCATGTAAAACTTAGTTCACACTATACTGTAGTCTATTAAGTGTGCAATAGCAGTATGTCTAAAAAAATGTACATACCTTAATTTTTTAAAACTTTATTGTTAAAAAATGCTAACGCTCGCCGAAACCGGTTTGGCTCAGTGGTAGAGCATCGGTCTGCGGACTGAAAGGTCCCAGGTTCGATTCCGGTCAAGGGCATATACATGGGTTGCGGGCACATCCCCGGTAGGGGGTGTGCAAGAGGCAGCTGGTCGATGTTTCTCTCTCATCGATGTTTCTAGCTCTCTATCTCTCTCTCCTCCTCTCTGTAAAAAATCAATAAAATATATTTTTAAAAAATGCTAATAACGCTCATCTGAGACTGTTGATGAAAATGGTGCTGATACACTTGTTCAACATAGGGTTGCCACAACCTTTCAATTTGTAACAAACAAACAAAAAAATAGCATCTGTGAGATGCAATAAAGCTAAGTGCAATACAGTGAGGTATGCCTATGACTTAAAACCAAGTGTCTCCAACTGAAAAGCATAGACGACAACAGTAACAGCTGAACTCAATCTTCCTAATTGCTAGACGCATGCTGTCTGCTGGGCACAGCATCGCACAACACGACCCAGACGGCAGAGGCTGCTGCAGGTGGCACAGGGGGCGCCCTGGAGAACGCCCGGGGACTTACATATGTAATCCTTCACGGCTCTCTCAAACAGGTCGTACACATGCTCCCGGTCCCGGCTGTCCCCAGCCATGCTGATCTCGTCGTGCAGCCACTCCAGCCAGAGCTCTGTAAGACAACACCTCCTGCGTTACCCCCCTCCCCGGAGGGCGGTCTGACAGCAGCCATGTACTGTGAGTCACCAGCAGGCGAGCGTTTCATCATCTCACACAAACCGGCCAGTCACAAAACTCAATTCGTAAAGCCTGCACCAAGCACAGAAGTTTATGGGCCCAGGTAAGATCAAATCACTAAAATGGTAATATTCTACAGCTGCCGGGCCCTCTGTGGTTTGCCAATTCGGTGTCTACAAAGGCAGCCTGGCTGGTGAGGTGTTACCTTCTGTCAGAGGGAAGATCTCGCTCATCTTCTGGCGGGCCCCCCTCAATTTGGTGAGCTCCCCTTCCAGCCGCAGCAGGCGGATCAGGTCCAAGTGGCAGTTGTAGTCATAGACGTTGATAGACAGCTAAAAGAGAAAGAAACCGCAGGTGAAATTTAAAATGCCGTCTTCAAAATAGCTTAGCTTTTTTTACCATTGGTGACGATGCACACATAGGTCACAAACAAAATACATGTGCTTCAGGAGAGCCTCTGACACAAACGAAACCTTTATCCTACAGAAAAGGAAGGAAAAGAGCAATACAAGAGGCTTTTTATAACAACCAGAAAGTTCCCTCAAGTCCATCGCAATTCCCGCCAGCACACACTTGTTTTCTCTGAAACACAGAAAACATTCCAATGAAACAAATTCCAGTGTGGCCTTAGATATGTTATTAACTTTCCTAAGCCTCCATTTCCTTACCTTTAAGTGGGAAATCACTGTTTTCTGACCCAGAGGTTGCGAAGATTTTAAACATAGTAATGTGCTTTAGCATAGCTCTTTTCTACTACTCAATAAAAAATAAAAGACCCCTACTGGAAGAAATAAGAATGACAACAGATTGATATCTGTGGAAGCTGAGTAATAAGCACATAAAGATCTATTTCTATACCTGAAACTTTTCAAACTAAAAATTAAAACAATAAATTAAGATAAGTGCTTAAAAAGCTATCATACATTTGAGACAAAAGGAAACTATAGAATGTGTTACTATCTGACTTACACGCTTAAAGAATAGCTAAAGGAAGTTCTTCAAACAGAAAGGGAATGATTAAAGAAATCTTGGCATCAAGGAGAAAGAACAACAAGAAAGAGCAGAGATGTGGGTAAGTGTAAGAAAGTCATCCTTCTCCTTATGCGTTTTCTAAATTGTATGTATTAGCAAACGTTTTAAGACTATCCGAAACCCGAAACAATGATATTTAAAAAGCAGGGATGGCAAAAGAGCATAAATGGAAGGCAAACTTCCACACTCACTCAGTGGTAAAACATAAATACCAGGAAAGTCAAATAAACTGAATTCTTGACCCATGGCCACGAGCCCAGTTTGAAAAACACCGGTGCAAAAAAATAATTGCAAATAAATTGGAAAACACCAATGCAGAGAAACTCTTATACATATTCAACAGGAGCACAGATCAACAGAAACAATGCTTTGCTGTAGCCTGTTTGTAATGGAGGGCCAAGCGGGGGACTACTACAGCAATCCAAATGCCAGAACTGATCTAACAGCTGTCAAAATGAGTAAACGGCAATGACAAGTAACGTGGACGAACCTTAGAAACCCACTGTGGGTGGCAAGCAGTCCCAGGAGATTATCTATAACAGGACGTACTTTTTTAAAAGCTCAGAACAAACAAAAGAGGACGACACATTGCTTAAGGATGCATACCTGAGTGATGAAACTTTGTTTTCCAAGAGAAGGAAACGCCCAAGATTCAAGAAGGTAGTCACGTGGGTTTTAGGAGGGGGGAAGGGAGAAGGGGCAGGCAGGGCTGGGAGGGGGAAACGCCCACAGACCCACGCAGCAGTGTCCATGCAGCTCTAACCCGCAGATGGGGTAGGGGGTGCTCATTTGATTACCATACGGTACCGTTTACAGATGTGAACTGTGCTTGTATGTATCAAGTCACATCAAAGATAAAGAAGAATCAACAACAGATAAGAATTCTTTCAAAAACCTTAAAAGACTAGTAGCAAGGTTCTCTTACGCGTGATTATAAAGCTGGACAAGCTGAACCCATCCCATGACTGTGTGATGGCTGGAAAGGGGTGGACTAGGCCAGGACAGGACACTGACAGGTCAAAGCTGACTGTCAAGTGTGCACACAAGTAACAAGAGTTTAAAAGGTGACGTTTGTGAAAGATGTGCTTTCCTGATTAACGAACACCCTAGGCTCTCCCTGTCCCCCCCGACTCACAGTTACCTGGGCCTGCATGTGTTTTCTGAGCATGGAGAGGTGGGAGCGTGCTTACCGGCTAGTGTGAGGAATGAATTAATGCCTGTGCAAATGTCCCTCACGGGAGCGCAATTCAGAAAAAAAGGTATGAAAGACACGAAGTAGAGGAATTGCCTCTACGGTGGTTTTGGGTCTAAATGTCCGATTTCTAGGCCCAAACAATGATATAGGAAGTGCTCTGAAAGTCTGTGCGTGAACTGCATTTATAAAAGACATTTTCTCAGAGCTCACTCAGTGAGTACACACTCTGGTCTCTTCCCGTCTCAGAACTTCATTAACAACAAATGATGCTCTCAACAGGGAGGCGGCTTAGGCAGCGCAGTGATCTAATCCCCTAACTCCCTAACGGCACACACTGGCCCCGGAGAGGGGCTGCAGCAGTAACAGGCCTGTGAAAGGACACGTGCTACCCACGGGAAAGGCAGGGAAAGGAGAAAGGAGCAGGCCTGGGATGGCACCTACTATGTGTCAAACGCCGTCAGCAGTTTTACACACACTGAGTCACTTAAGGTCCACAATAGTCCTGCGTGTGGGGAGGTAGGGACACTACAACAACGCTCCTTTGACCAACTGGGACACCAGAGGCTCTGAGACTGAAATAGCTTGCACGTGAGAAAGAATGTGCTCAAATTCACAGCATCACCCCCTACCACCTCGGCACAGACCGCACAGATGGGTCTCTGGTTCTCTCTTCCAGCAGGGTGTGCCCAGCAGCAGGCGCCAACAGAGGCGAGGCAGAGAGCTGGGCCAGGGTATTCCTCTGATTGGAAACCAGGGCTGCACCCCTCGATCAAAGGCCTTGGCTCCCCTCAGGCTTCCTATCCACACCACCTTTCAAAATACTGGTGTCCCGCTCTCTCCCCTCTTCAGGCCTTAGGACGGACACAGGTCCTGCTGTGACTAGCCCTAGGATTCTAACCTTCCCTCCCTGTTTCCCTGCCCGCCCTTTACCAACACGGCAGTCCCTTTATTAACCTTCCCCCAAACTATCCTAATTTAAACCTCCTGCTGGATCACACCGGAGTTAACAGATTCTAGAGAGATCACGTTACTAGGAGGTGCCGGACAGCTGACTGTCATTGCTGCTATTGCAATTACACGACATGGAAATGCTGCGCCCAATTTACAGACGAGGAAGGTGAGGCTCAAAGACGGCAGAATCCTGGCCAAGCACACACTGCTGGGGACCTCCTATTGGAGGGGCCTTCGCCTCCAGACGCTGAAATCCCTACCTTTCCACGTCTATGATCGTCCTCAAGGTCAATATCGCCGTTCCTACAGGGAAATAGCTCCCTGGCGAAGAGAACTGTATTTCGGCTGCTGGGCATAGCTTCCCGGCGTGGTTAGGAGTGGAAGGTGTGGAGTCGGTTGCAAGTGCAAGACCTGACTCCCCACCTGCAGGAAGTGTAACCTTGAGCCAGAGAATTCCCTCCACCAAGAGCCTCCGTTTTCTCGCTAAAACGGGGGACACACTACCGCCTCCCTGGGTCGTCGTGAGGACGCAATGGGGTAACGCCTGCACAGCCCCAGGCTGAATAGCGGGTTTGCTGACCCGGCGGGTTCACTGCCGCTCCGGGCCCGGGAGCAGGGGCAGGCCTGGGAACCTGGGGGGGAGGGGGACCCCGCTGCCCGCCCCCGAGCGCACCTGCTCCTCCAGCCGCTCAATCTCCAGCTGGGTCTTCTCCTCCTCTTCGTCGTACTCCCACTCGTCGTCGCCGGGGGAGCTCTCCGCCGAGGAGGCCATGGCGAACTCCTCATCCTCATCGCTCTCGCTCACGCCTTCCTCCCGCTGCTGGTGCTGGTCCCACGCCGGCCCCATGGACTTGTAGGTCGCGGTGGCAACAGCGCGCGTGAACACCTTCCTCCTGGCCCCGTCCGCCTTCGCCTCGTCCTCCTCGCCCTCAGCCTCGGGCCCCGCCTTGGGATCAGCCTCCAGTTCAGCAGCCGATGCCGCGGCCGCTGTCGCCATCTTGGGCTTCCAGCGACTCCCGGGTTTTCCCGGGGCCGCCGAGGACCCCCCTGAGGCAGGGGCTGTCCGCGGCGCGCGCCTGACCAGAAACCTCGCTGTCTTGCCTCCTGAAAGAAAAATGTGAGCTTCAGGTGACGGGAAAATCTCTAAATTCACCAAATTATATTACTTTAATACAATTGTGAAAGTTCTCTTGAGTAAAAACAACCCCCCCAACACGGCATGTGTTCCGTCTCAACTCCGGACAGACTGGGGTCCTTGGACAGGAAGTAGAGCCCAGAGGAAATCCGTGAGCGAGAGTGATGACTGTAGTTAATGCTTTGGCGCCATCTTGAGAAGGTCAAAGTGATCTGGGAATAAATACCTTACTGTCTATGACCTAGCGCGTGGTTCAAGTGTCCCCACCAGCTGAGCGACCCTCAAACGCAGAGAAAACCCCAAGTCCTCGGAGATCGAATGCACCATTCATGAGAAAACTACATTTCCCAAAAAGATTCTTCCCCCTTTATGTAGGCGTTAAAGACACACGAGAGTTTTCTCATTTTATAAGAAACATTAATAAATTACATCACTAGGCATTTAATTAGAAACTCAATTGCCAGATATTGTCATATGAGTTTACCATTGTTTATACAGAAATAGATCACATAGACATATACTTTTTAAAGAAGAAAAAAATCAGGACAGGGTGTTCGATTCTTTCATCATTAAGCTTCCCATTTTGAGGTAGGGGAGTATTTTGTGTGTTTACTTATTGCCTTTTTCCTTCACCAGTAAGTTTAATGAGGCAGGTCTGGTTTCCTTTCCGTTAGATTCCCAAAGCCTCGAATAGCGCCTTGACTCATAGTAGGTGTTTACCCATGAATGAAAAAATTGTCCTTGAATTACATGTTACAAAAGATCGAGGCGTAGAGAGCTAATATCATTTGCCGCCCTGAGGTCACACAACCAGGGAGGAGCAAAGCCGGGGTTCTAACTCGGTTTATCTGAATCTGAATCCCAAGTGCACTTAACTCTCTGAGCAACCCTGGATACCTTACTAAACGGCTCGGAACCGAAAAGCTCTCAGCTGCACATTAGGGTTAAAAATATGGGCTGGGTGGCCCTCTGCGCCGCATTCGGGCGGTGGTCTCGGTGGACGTCCACGCGAGTCCCGCACTCCACCCCGAGACCCTCGTACACACCAAGGACAAGCCCTCCTGCCCGTCAGACCTCCCGCTCCGCCCCGCGCCCCGCCTCCCCGAGGGGCGTGGCCCACGTGCCCGGCGCGTGACGGCTCGGGCACGCAATCGCGGTGACATCACACGGGCGCGCCCCGCCCCTTGGCCTCGCGCTCGGACTACGCAGGCGCTAGCCGGCAAGATGGCGGCGACTGGAGCGGGCCGCCTGAGACGCGCTGCGTCAGTCCTGCTGCTCCAGACCCCGCGCCTGCCGGCCCGGGAGCTGTCAGCTCCCGCCCGGCTCTATCACAAGAAGGTAGGGGGTGCGCGGGGTCCGCAGCGATCAGGGCGGGGGGACGGGGACGGTCGACGGGACCGGCGGGTGCAGGTGCCGGACAGAAGCCCAGGGTGGGGAGGAGTGGCCGCGGGACTCTCGGCGCTGGGGGAGCCCCCGCTGTGGCCCGGGGTGGGGATGGCGCCCGGCCCTTGGATGGAGGGATCGCCCCCCTCGCGTGACACTACCTCCGCCTGCCTTGCTGCGCAGTGACGGCGCGTGAAATAAAAAGAACCGTCCGCGGGCCCTGCCGCTGGCCGCGACGTCGTGCATCCCGCCCTTGGACATCCTAAGAGCCCAGGGAGGAGGGTCCCGTTAGGACCGGACTCCTGGAGCTCGGCCTTGGCCAGGTGACCTTGGGAAAGTCGCTGACCTTCGCCGAGCCTGCCTCCCCGTTTGTAGAGTGGGTAACTGAACCCTCCACGCAAGGTGATGCTCGCGGGGGCCTCGGCAGGGTGCCCGGCACAGAGAGACCTTTTAGGTGCCGCCGTGGCGGTTCTTGTAGGAGCTCAGAGCCTCCGGGTGGAGCCCATGCACCGCCTTGTGTTTGTTTTCATGTTTTGTTTGGGGCGGGGCATAGGGATGGGTGTGTAATTTGCAGCCCTTGCCTTGGGTAGGAGGGGGAGGGGGGAAGGGGGAGAGAAGAGACGTGTAAAGTCCCTTGGACAGGAGACTGAGTGGCACTCGGACACCACTAACTAAAGGATGTGGTAATTCAACTTGGGGACAAACGGTACAGATTGGATATTACCTTGTAGGTCCTTGGGCTTGTAGTCGACATCCTCGTCAGAACGGTGGGGGGAGGGGAACCAGTCGATCCGTACACTGGTAAAAAAAAAAAATAATAATAATAATAATAAATCTCAATGTTACTAGAACCTTCCATGTGCCAGTCTGAATAAACATTTATTCTGGCTTCCTAGTCGCCCAGGACTTGGCTCCTCCCCCACCCAGGGGTGTGTCTTGTTGACAGTGCCCGCTGGAGGGATTGGGGCTGGCACCTCCTGGCCACCGGGGTGCGCTGCTGCCCCGGGGAGGTTTCAGGGCCCGGAACTAGTGATGGGACAGTGATTTTTATAATCGTGCCCACTCGGACACGTTTCACAGTGGTTTCCCTGTAGCAGTCTCCTCGAGGCTTCTGGGAAAGCCTTCAATTTATGGCTCATAGTTACTTTTAGAACTTTTGAATAGTCATTATCCTTCAAGAAGAAACTGTATTTGGAAGTAACAAAAATGCCATTGGAGCTCAAGCTGGCCATTTAGGTGGTTAAAGGTCCAATCGTTACAGGTGGTTAGAAGCCTGTGGAGGGAAAACATGGTTTTCCTCCAGCATCACAAACCTCTTAAGGTCATTGGAAAGGAGATGCAAAAAGACTTTGGGTCACAAACGGTTCTCATTTGGCATTTAGTGATTGCCTGCCAAATTCAGGTGGCTGACTTGGTGCTTGCCATTAAGTTAAGACCAAAAAAGAGTGATAGTGATTTCTCTTAACTCTCATTTCAGGTTGTCGATCATTATGAAAATCCCAGGAACGTGGGGTCTCTTGACAAGACATCTAAAAATGTTGGGACTGGATTGGTGGGGGCTCCAGCGTGTGGCGATGTGATGAAATTACAGGTACGGCTGGTTTCATCTGGAATGGGAATGGGAATCTGTTGGCTTCAGAGTTCACACAGCACTTGCATACATCTCCTTTGGTCTCCGATGGGATGATGGGGGTGCTGGTGATCGGGGCAGAGCCTGTCCTAGCGCTCCTGCTGGTTCACTGTGCTGACCCTTTCCGATACAATCAACTGATCACCCTGAGCTGCTCACTGAATCAGCTTCAGTTCCACTGTCAGTTAAGTAAACGATTCTGTGAGTTTTACCAAAGGAAAACCACAGCCGTTGAGCTAGCCATCCCCTGTGAGATAAGAAATCCAGTCAATCAGACCTCCTCCAAACTGAGGGCCACAGGAAGGCTGGGTAAACCGTAGCTTCATTCACAACCTGCTTCATCACAGAGGGAGGGCAGCGCGCCAGTCTCCCCATCTATCTCAGAAAACAGCAATGGGGCAGGGCGGGACCACTAGACGCAGTGTGGTGTCCAAGAACAAAGCATTAGCTAGAGACCGTGTGTAGGCTCCCCCGGCGTTTCCAGGGCAGACAGACACAGCAGCCGCGAGCAGAACTGCACAGCCAACAAGCAGGTGAGGGTTCAAAACAACCAACCAGAACTTCAGAGGGGCGTATTATTTAGCTTATCAGATCTATACGATTGTCTGTGTTTAACTCTTCATCCCTGAGCTCTTCAAGACAAAGCAAACTCAGAAAATACCATCATTAGTGCCACAACGTCCAGGGGAAACAAGGCCGAGGTCTTGGGAAGAGCCCGGGAAGCCCTGTGAGTGGCGCTCCTACAGACAGCCCCACCCTGTCTCTTCTAGATCCAGGTGGATGACCAGGGGAAGATCGTGGACGCCAGGTTCAAAACCTTTGGCTGTGGCTCCGCCATCGCCTCCAGCTCGCTGGCCACCGAATGGGTGAAAGGAAAGACGGTAAGGTCACTCGCAAGCCTGACAGAATCAAGTCACGTTTTCCACAAACTTGGCTCTCAGTTAAGGGAAAGGTCGGGGGGGGGGGGGGGGGGGGGGGGGAGGCGGGCAGAGAAATAACTGACTTTAAAAAAAATACATTCTGATAATTTTTTTAAATTTCTTTTTAATTTCTCCTACCCAGATTTTTATTAAATTCTCCACATTGAGAACAGTGGCTTGTTTTGTTAAGTGTTTTTTAGTTTGGGTTTTTTGTTGTTGTTGATTATTTTCATTTGGGATTTTCTGTGATGTTTTCTTTCTAATTAAATAGAAAAGAGATCCTCACCTCTCCATCTAACAAGATAGAGCTTAAGAGAAACCTTAGCTTTCTCCAGGGCTGCTGGTGGTGTAATTTCTTAGGACTGTCGTCAGGTCAGGGAGTGTTGTGTAGTGGTTTGTTTTCTTGTTTATGTCCTCCCATCCTGTTGCGGGAAGGACTGCAGGTGGCTTTTAAGGATTCGTGGAATAACAAACCGGCCTGTACTAACAGAGGGATTGAAGGATCACATACACATCGAGGGGAGGGGCAGGGTGAGCAAGCTAATCAAAACAGTGACCCAGGTGGCTGGTTGCAGGCCCCCAGAGTGGAGAAAAGCGGGAACATCTTTCCATCCTTTTCTCTGCCAGCGCCTCTCTCCCCAGCAGCTGCAGAAGCAGAAGGTCCCAGACCCAGTAAAGAACTGGACTTTCTAAAACCTAGTCATTCAACCCTCTCAGAAAAGCTAACCCGCAGGCTGCTCATCCTTATAGCCCTGAGGGACCAAGTTCAGGGTTAAAGAGAAGTGCGCTTGGGGAGCTGGGCAGCTCAACAGCACAGCATATGCCACACCGCACACCACCTGCTTTCCGTGGCTCGGGGCCTTCTGGCTGGCAAGCTCCTCTGGGCCAAGGAGGCCCAGGCCTGGCCTGACTGGCAGGAGGTGGCTCTGCGGTGATATGTCACCAGTTGTCTGCAGGGAAAGGGGGGAAGAGGAGACAGGCACCTGTGCTCCAGGACCTCTGAGATGTGGTCAGAAAATGGGGGAAGAAGA